TTATTTTTTCTTGCTCAAATTCTCGTGGCGATGCCGCCTTTCATTTATTGACGTGCAATTCAAATTTTTTATATTTTAGTAGTTCTACACCCCCAAAAAATGGACTTTGATGGTGCAGGATAAGGAGACTTGTAGTGTCTTTTAAGGTCTTTTAGGGTTTGAAACATGGCCGGAGACACTACCCGCCGTTCCTGATAAAAGAATATGTTTATGATATACTAAACATGTGATATGCAATACTGCATATATGTATTATATATATATATAAAAAAATATCACATATATACGAATACATCAGAATATTTAAAGTCTTCAAAGTGATGATAGTTCACATGATGTCAGATTTACCAAATGTTGACTTTGAACGAGATGTATATCAATTATTGTAAGTAATGGTTCTCTAGCTTGTACATATTAATTAACTTAATTATTTCTTATTACTTCTATATATTGTTTTATAAATATTATAATTTGTAGAAATCCTGCGTTTCGATCAGATGGATTAAAAATGTATCCGACACTTGTCATACGTGGTTATTGAAAACTGGAAGAGCGTACGTGATATACCTGTGCCATTAGTAAGGTAAATATAACAATATTAAATCATATGCGTAATATATACATTTATGATAGATTATACATAATATACATATATGTATATTTTTTTTCTTTAAGAAACAGTTCCGGTGTAGAACATGGTGCGGAAATTTACGTGAGTTGTAATACTTTTCGTACTTCAAATGTTGTAGTAATTATTCTGTAAGAGCTCGACATTATTTCTAAATGGACATCGAGAAACATCATAGTTTTTTGAGAGCAGGCCGCCATGTTATTTTTCTGAGTAATTAACAAATTGGTACTCTGGAATTACGAGCAATTATTTTTAATTGTACGGGCTAGTATAATTTCAAATCAAATCTCTATAACGACTATTATATTTTGTGCACTAAGAATAACATATCGCACTTATTTTCTAGAATCAAATTGTAATCATTTTTACTTATATGTATTGTTGCGTTATGTTTCAACGACATAAATGATCGCCTGATAATCACGCTCCTTGTACGTGACGCCGAGCCGCCGGATGGCGATCGCGTGATCCTACCACTGAACCAATAACGAAGTCGATTGATCGTGCTGGCAATCGACCATTGGTAGTTAAGAATGCGTACGGGGGTTCCGGTCTCTCGTCCCCGGGACGAGCCTCTACTATTGTTTCGTTTTCGGACTGGGCTCGTCGTCAAAAACAATCAAGTACCTCGTAGACTAAGGCAGTACGGTGCGCGCGATAAAACGCGGAGAAAAGCGATACTCCGCCACTGATTGTATATAGCCGCGATTAGTGAGTTTTCGTGTACGCTGTTCAGCGCCTTTATTGCCTTGGCTGCAAAGAGCCTTCGCACCGAAACCGTGCCCGAACGTGGCCTGTGAGCCCATAGTGTATCCTCGGTCGTGAATAAAGACTGTCTCATCACCTCAGTAACATTTATTTTACCCAAGGTTCAGCGCGCCGTCTCCCATTCGGGAGAGAATTCCCGCAATTCCACACATAAAATTTGGTCCTTCGAGCCGGATCGGCGCGCGACAGTGACAATCATTTGGCGGATCCATCGGCATACGACCGCGTCAATTATATCGTTGATCATTACTACCGAGGTGATCATTCCGCGGAACACGTACGAGCGGAACATTGTGGGCAAGTCCAAGCAATCGTACTTGCATATCATTAGTGTCAGGTCAACCTTGTGCTGTAAGGATGGAAGGGCTATTGGCCGAACAAAAGGTGACGCTCAAATCAATCACTCGCTCATTGGAGAATTTTAAAAAAATCGGAAAAGACAATCTCACGTACGGAATCGTGCGATCCCGCCTGCAAAAATTGAAGGATGATTATGCTCGATACGAGCATACACATGCCAAGGTACTCGCTCTCGCAACCGAGGACTTCGTCGCCACCCACAAATATTTCACCGAGGACCGATTCTCCGCTTGTGAAGCAGCATATTATACCGCCTCTGATTACATGGCCGAATGGGAAGCGCAGCTGGAACCCCAAGCGACATCCACTCCCGAGCCGTCATCCATCGTAAGCCATCGTCAAAACGTCTTCACATCCCGGTCAGCGTTTCAACTTCCGCGTATAAGCTTGCCGAGATTTTCCGGCGAATTTAGCGATTGGGAATCGTTTCGCGATCAATTCAAAGCGTTGATAATCGAGAACAGTGATCTCGTAGATGTAAATCGCCTGCAATATTTACATTCCTGCGTGAAGGGCGACGCGTTCGATATCGTGCGAAATCTCGCGTTAGTCGATTCGAATTTCAAGGTCGCCTGGGACTTATTAATAGCACGCTACGATAACAAAAGACGCTTGGTGCACGAGCATATTCACGAGTTGACATCACTCACGCCGATTAATTCCGAATCCGCGTCCGCGCTTTCCGCGTTAAGAGATAAAGCGAACGTGGCAATTAAAGCGTTAAAACATCTCGGGCGGGCGGTGGACCAATGGGACGATATTCTTGTATATTTGATCGTGCAAAAATTCGATAAGGCCACTCGAAAAGCGTGGGAATTGCAGCTCGGAGATACAACCGAATATCCCACGTTTGATAGTCTCGAACAGTTTTTAACCTCGCGTATCCGCGCTTTTGAGAATATTCTGCCGTTCAATAAGGGCAAGACTTCGAATCAGCTGTCGGTGCAAAGCCATGTAACAAATACAAGTGCAATAAAATGTCCTGTTTGTCAGAAACCGCATCTATTATTTGCGTGTCCGGAATTTCGAAATAAACCCGCAAGCGAACGTCGAGAAATAGCTCAAAGGGTTCGGTGCTGTTACAATTGTCTGAGTACCAAGCATAATCGGAAAAATTGCCAAAGCAAACATACGTGTCAACAGTGTCAACAGAAGCATCATACTCTTCTCCACGAAGTCGACACGAGTAAAGTTAATGAAGCACGCTCTCCGACTGCGAGCACCTCGACGGCGGATGAACCCGTCTCGATTAATACGCACGTTGTTTCACGCGTTAACTTTTCAAAAACTGGCATTCTACTCGCGACAGCTTGGGTCGCGGTTCATAGCGCTACCGGTACCCGGGACGTCGTACGCGCATTATTGGATCAGGGCTCGGTCACAACTCTCATTTCAGAACGATTAGCTCAACGCTTGCGACTTAAGCGATCTCGTGTTTCAGTCTCGATAACAGGCATCGGATGCGCGGCGTCCGTTGCCAAACAAGCAGCACGGATTGACATCTCCCCCCGCGACATGTCAGGTCCTGTGTTGTCCGTGACTGCTTGATATTAAAGACATTAACAAATTATATTCCACAGCGCGTGGAATCTCTCGCCGAGTTGGAATATCTGCGCTCTCTCAATCTAGCCGACAGCGATCCAACAAGCTCGGAGCCCATCGATATCATTATTGGAGCTGACCTTTACGGATCAGTTCTGAGATCAGGCATTCGATCGCGATCTTCACAAGAACCCGTAGCGCAAAACTCCATTTTCGGGTGGATTCTCTCCGGACCTATGTTCACGGAACTAGAGTCCGCCTCCCATCAGTTATCGACGCATCACTGCACAGTGCATGCGGACCTCGATATGCAGTTGAAGCGCTTTTGGGAGATTGAAGAACTCCCTCGTTCGCGTCACATATCTCCGGAGGAAAAGCGGTGCGAAGAACATTTCGCGTCGACTCATTCTCGCTCTCCGACCGGGAGATACATAGTCAGGCTCCCATTCAAAACGCCTCCTCCATTGAGCCTCGGCGATTCAAGGTCGGCGGCTCTAGCCTTGTATACTCGAGCCGAAGCTCGTTTGAAAGCGCGGCCTGAACAAGCAACCGAATACCACGCGTTTTTACAAGAGTATAAACAATTAGGACACATGATGAAAGTGTCATCGCCGCGCCACAATTCTAATCAAATAATTTACATTCCTCATCATGCAGTCATACGTGAACACAGTGCCACGACCCATCTGCGTGTCGTGTTCAATGCCTCCTCGCCTACGTCAAATGGTTTGTCGCTTAACGATCATCTCATGATCGGTCCGAAGTTACAAACCGATTTGCCATCGATCCTCACGCGCTGGCGACAGTTTCGCTATGTCTATACTGCAGATATTGCAAAAATGTATAGGCAAATTTTAGTTGATCAACGCGACACCGACTATCAACGGATTCTTTGGCGATCCGATGTCGACGCTCCGATAGAAGACTATCAATTGCAAACCGTGACTTACGGTACAGCAAGCGCACCTTACTTGGCCATCCGAGTTTTAAACCAACTCGCTCTCGATGACGGCCATGACTTTCCCGCCGCAGTACCAGTCCTTCAACAGCATACTTATGTTGATGATTGTGTTTTCGGCGCAGACGATATCCCGCTCGCTCGTAAGACAAAGGATCAGCTTGTATCCTTACTCAATAGAGCAGGCTTTCAACTTCGCAAGTGGGCAAGCAACAATCAGTCGTTGCTTGCTGATATCGATCCTCATGATCATGGTCTGGCGCAAGCCAAGACCCTGCAAACGGACGATTCTCTAAAGGTCTTGGGTCTCAAATGGAACCCATACGTTGACGCGTTTCAGTTTGAAATATCGCTGTCGACCGAGGTTCCTGCAACAAAACGCGCCGTTTTAGCGACCATCGCTACCATCTTTGATCCACTTGGGTGGTTAACACCCGTCGTAATAACAGCGAAGATCTTTATGCAAAAACTGTGGACGGCGCGATGTGAGTGGGACGCCGTACTTCCCCATGAATTGTTCGCTGCTTGGCGTAGCTACTACGCGCACCTATCGACTCTGCGCGAGATTTTAATTCCGCGATGGAACGGGTATGGGTCCGACACGGTTTCAGCGGAAATTCATGGATTCGCAGACGCGTCTACTGCCGCGTATGGAGCCGTCGTTTATTTAAAACTGACCAAACGTAACGGATCAGTCAAAATCACGTTGATGAGCGCGAAATCTAAAGTCGCCCCGCTTAAACCCCTCACGGTTCCGCGGTTGGAATTATCCGCGACGGTGTTATTAGCTCGCCTCATTGCATTCGTGCGAACTCTGATCCATATCCCTTCAATGATTTGTCACTGTTGGACAGATTCCACGGTAGTACTAGCATGGCTCAAGCAATCTCCCGCTCGATGGAAAATTTTCGTGGCCAATAGGGTCCACGAGGTTCAAAGTCAAGTTCCAGACGCGATATGGCACCACGTTCCATCACCGCAAAACCCTGCCGATCTCGCTTCACGAGGCGTCCAGCCGGCCGACCTAAAGGAGCATTTATTATGGTGGCAAGGCCCCGCGTGGCTTCAGTTACCCTCGACTCAATGGCCGGAGGGAAGTGAATCTGTCACAACAGAGTCGCTTACGGAGGCTCGCGCTCATGTACATATCGCTCAAACCCCCAACGAATGGGAATTAATGACGCGTTTTTCGTCATGGACAAAATTATTGCGAGTGACCGCATATATACGGCGATTCACGCAACGTCTTCGATATCGCCGGTCACAGCCATTGGCGAGCCCTAACGCTCCGGTGAACATCACCAAACTATCGCTGTCGCTAGCACCGGATGAGATTGATTCCGCGCGAAAATTTTGGTTGAAGTCCATTCAACAACAACTGTTCTCGACAGAGCTGTTACGTTTAAAGGACGGTAAGTCCGTGCAAAAGGGCAGCAAACTAGACGATTTAATTCGAGTCGGAGGCCGACTCCGTCATTCCGAACTCGCCGAAAAAACGAAACATCCAATTGTACTCGCATCGCATTCATTAGTCTCGTCTCTTATACGTCACATTCATCTACAAGCTCTGCACGCCGGATCGCGCTTGACGTTGTCAATTCTTCGCGAAGACTTCTGGTTAATCCGCGCTCGGCAAACCATACGGTCAGTTCTTTACCATTGCATCGCCTGCACTCGTGAAAACGCAAAAATCATTCCCGAGTTGATGGGCGATCTTCCGGATTATCGAGTTCGCCCTGTTGCTCGCGGGTTTTCTCACTGCGGAATCGATTATGCCGGACCAATTAAAGTGCGAACGACACCGGGACGGGGACACAAGTCGCAAAAGGCATATATCGCCATATTTATCTGCATGACTGTTAAAGCGACTCATCTGGAACTAGTAGGTGATTTGTCAACGCCGTCTTTCTTGGCTGCTTTCGATCGGTTCTGTGCTCGTCGAGGTGTTCCAACCGCGATGTATTCGGACAACGCAACTAATTTTCAGGGAGCTCAACGCGAACTAGCTACTGCTTGGCATACGGCTACTCACGATTCGAATATTTTAAACAACCTCGCGGAGAAAGGCATCAGTTGGAGATTCATTCCTCCGTCCTCTCCACATTTCGGTGGATTATGGGAGGCCTGCGTTCGGAGCGTTAAGTTTCATCTAAAGCGCGTCATCGGTGCTCACACGCTCACAATCGAAGAGATGAGCACCTTATTATGTAAAGTCGAAGCGTGTCTAAATTCGCGGCCTCTCGGGCAGATGTCGGATAATTACGATGATTATCACGCTCTTACTCCGAGCCACTTTCTCATTGGATCCTCGATGCTAACGATGCCAGAAACGTCTCTACTCGACGAAAAGGAAACGCGTCTTACCCGATGGCAGCTCATTCGTCAAATGCGCGATAGTTTATGGAAGCAATGGTCACAGGACTATCTGCACACGTTGCAACAACGGCCTAAGTGGCGTGAAAGGCAGAGTTTAGCCCGGGTAGGGCGCTTAGTACTATTGCGAAATCCGCTAGCGCCTCCCTGCGCTTGGGAACTTGGGAGGATCGTGGAATGCCATCCGGGAGACGATGGCTTAGTCCGGGTCGTTACTGTCAAGACAGCCCGCTCAAAGTACAAGCGAGCCGTCACAAAATTATGTTTTCTACCGATTGACGTGAATCTAACCCATGACGCTGCGGATGACATTCCACGAGCCATCTCTGCTGATACGTCTAAAAATTAAATTCCATTGTAAACTCTATACAAAGATGTGGTATACATGAAAATAAATGTAATGAATTCGCGCTCATGTACTAATCAACATCGTCACGGCGGGCGGCGCGATTATGATTTCATCGTTCGGAAAAGCTCCGAGGCGGGCGGTATGTTGCGTTATGTTTCAACGACATAAATGATCGCCTGATAATCACGCTCCTTGTACGTGACGCCGAGCCGCCGGATGGCGATCGCGTGATCCTACCACTGAACCAATAACGAAGTCGATTGATCGTGCTGGCAATCGACCATTGGTAGTTAAGAATGCGTACGGGGGTTCCGGTCTCTCGTCCCCGGGACGAGCCTCTACTATTGTTTCGTTTTCGGACTGGGCTCGTCGTCAAAAAACAATCAAGTACCTCGTAGACTAAGGCAGTACGGTGCGCGCGATAAAACGCGGAGAAAAGCGATACTCCGCCACTGATTGTATATAGCCGCGATTAGTGAGTTTTCGTGTACGCTGTTCAGCGCCTTTATTGCCTTGGCTGCAAAGAGCCTTCGCACCGAAACCGTGCCCGAACGTGGCCTGTGAGCCCATAGTGTATCCTCGGTCGTGAATAAAGACTGTCTCATCACCTCAGTAACATTTATTTTACCCAAGGTTCGCCGCGCCGTCTCCCATTCGGGAGAGAATTCCCGCAATTCCACACAGTATGTATGTTTAATGTGAACTTGCACCTTGAATAAAATATCACAGTTATTTTTCATGGTAATATATTATTACTAAATTTAGATAATATACACTTTACGTATGTTCACTTTGAACTGGCACCTTGAATAACATATATATATATATATATATATAATATAATTACAATAATAAAAATTGTGACGACCCGTTTTGTCGTCACTAGAAGCCGCGCAAGCACGAGGCCGACCGTCCGCCCGCGCTCATATAAACGGCCCCTGTCGGGGCCACCACACATCGAACACGTGGGAATTTGCCTTTTCGCCCCACCCGACCGGACCGCCCCACTCCAAGCTAGTTGGAGGGGGCTGACCGACGGGTATATAAAGTGGCGCAGCCGAGACTTCGAGACCAGTCCCGTCCTGGTCTCTTGAGCGTACTCAAGGACCACTCCTCACCTCCTAACCATCCCGGGCGACGAGCGTTCTCGTCGCGTAAGCCGAGCGTTCTCGGGCACCGGATCCTCTCCAAACATCACCCCGGCCGACGAGCGTTCTCGTCGGGCAGGCCGAGCGTCCTCGGTCACCGGATCCTCTCCGAACATCACCCCGGTCGACGAGCGTTCTCGTCGGGCAGGCCGAGCGTCCTCGGTCACCGGATCCTCTCCGAACAGCACCCCGGTCGACGAGCGTTCTCGTCGGGCAGGCCGAGCATTCTCGGTCTCCGGATCCTCTCCGAACATCACCCCGGCCGACGAGCGTTCTCGTCGGGCAGGCCGAGCGTCCTCGGTCACCGGATCCTCTCCGAACATCACCCCGGTCGACGAGCGTTTTCGTCGGGCAGGCCGAGCGTCCTCGGTCACCGGATCCTCTCCGAACAGCACCCCGGTCGACGAGCGTTCTCGTCGGGCAGGCCGAGCATTCTCGGTCTCCGGATCCTCTCCGAACATCACCCCGGCCGACGAGCGTTCTCGTCGGGAAGGCCGAGTTTCCTCGACCACCGGATCCTCCGAGAGCCACCGACATCTTGTGGAGCTCGCCCTTTTCAGGGCGCCCGAATCCAAGGCGGTTTACGGAGCTCGCCCTTTTCAGGGCGCTCGTATCCACGCCGCGTTGGGTAAATTTTCGTCCGCCACGCTACTATCTTAGTTATAAGTCGTGTCCGCGTCCGTATGATTTGGTCGCGTTTCGTCCGTCGCGTTATTATTTGTAAACCTTAGTTATAAGTCGTGCCCGCGTCCGTATGATTTGGTCGCGTTTCGTCCGTCGCGTTATCATTTGTAAACCTTAGTTCTAAGTCGTGTCCATGTCCGTATGACTTGGTCACGCTTCGTCCGTTGCATTACTTGTATTCCTTAGTTATAAATCGTGTCCGCGTCCGTATAAGTTGGTCGCGGTCCGCACTTCCTGCGATTCTCTTCTGTACGCGTAGACTAGATAATAAGCCAACTTTTGCAGGGCGGCTTCAATAAACTCTGTTTTTACCAGAACGATTGGCGTGGTTATTGCGAACCTGAGTCTCCCCCCTCTTCCCGAATCCTGGCACCGACGAGCCGATCCGTGGCGTCGGGAAAGGAGCCCCGTTACAAAATAAAATAATAATAGACATATAATTAGAATAATAAAAAATTATTGCTTTCGGTTCTTGTGACAGCTGCCTCAATGCCGTTAAGTTCCTAGCAATCCTACAGAGTTTGCTTGCTTACAGTAGCAAGTAAATTTTAGAGAATGCATTAGTGCATCTTGTATAGTACGCACATATATATGTTGTACGTGTCTATTCTCATAAATTTTCTAATTTTTTTCTTTTTTTATAATGCCTTAAAATATGAATTAAAAAATATATAATTCGAAAAATATTTCTTGACTTGCCCCGTGAATGATACCCAAACTTTTATAAGATTATTTTTTTTCTCTTATCTTAAATATTCAAAGTTCAAAACTAAATTCTAATATTTTTATATCATTATTATGTATTGACCACCTCATTTTTCGTACTATAGAAAGAGTGATATATCTTTTCATTGTCGAAGCTCTATATATAATACATGTATGATTCATACTGAACTGTGATTTGTTCTGTTAAATGCATTAATTGCTTGCAAAAAAAAACTTGAAGAGTTTATTTTTGACCAGCAGTTTTTCTCATTGAAATATTAATTCTTATATTTAGAAATGTATGTAGAAGTTATAATATGCTCTATTACACATTTAAGGAGGCATATATAAATTATCAATTTTGATATTTTGACATGTTATGTAACAAGAGAAACAAGATTATTCTTCATTAATAATATCAGAGGAGGCCACTTTTATATTCTACTTAATTTGTAGTTTCTTATTACTACTAAAATAAATGTACTTTTAATAAGAGTAAATAAAAAAGCGATTTATAAATCATTGTCCGAAAAAGATGTATAAGCTATGTCAAAGCTGATCTAAAATTTTTATGAAATTAGCTATAAATATTTTAGAAAGAAAATTAAATAATATAAAATTATGTTACTCAAAGAAATGTTTTGTGTGTACACACCGATAAAGTTAAAAAAAAAGTAAAATTATTTGATACAGCAAAAATTGGAAAATTTATCTGCTCTAAAATGCAAGATGCCAAGTCAAAATTTAAATTTAAAAACTTATGCAAATTTAAAATTAATATAAAATAAAAAGAAATAATAAAATTTTAGTTAAAAAACTGGGCGCGCTGCTAAATAATATTCTAATGATATTAAAATTAAATTGTTACTTTTAAACTCATTGCAATTAAAAGGGGGAGAAAAATGAAAGAGGGTTAGAGAGGACGAAAGAAAGTGAAAAAGGACGAAAGAGGGTGAGAGGGAATAAAAGAGGGTGAAAGACGACGAAACAGGGTGAAAGAGGGTGAGAGGGAATGAAAAAGGGTGAGAGAAGACGAAAGAGGGTGAAAGAGGACGAAAGAGGGCGAAAGAGGGTGAGGACGAAAAGGGTGAAAGAGGACGAAAGAGGGTGAGAAAGGACGTACGAGGGTGAAAGAGGTGAGAGAGAGTGAGAGAGGACGAAAGAGGGTGAAAGAGAATAAGAGGGTGAGAGGACGAAGGAGAGTGAAAGAAGACGAAAGAGGGTGAAAGAGAATGAAATAGGGTGATAAAATGAAAGAGAGTGAGAGAAGACAAAGGAGAGGAGAGGACGAAAGAGGGTGAAAGAGGACGAAAGAGGGTGAGAGGACGAAAGAGGTGAAAGAGGAAAAGAGGGTGAAAGAGGACGAAAGAGAGTGAAAGAGGATGAAAGAGTGAGAGAGAATGAAAGAGGGTGAGAGAGGACGAAAGAGGGTGAAAGAGGCGAAAGATGGTGAAAAAGGACGAAAGAGGACGAAAGAGGACGAAAGAGGGTGAAAGAGGCGAAAGAGGGTGAAGAGGGTGAGAGGACAACAGAGGGTGAGAGAGAGACAAAAGACTGAAAAAATAGACAAAGAGGTGAGTTAGGGCGAAAGAGGGTTGGAGTAGGGGTGGGGCGGGATGGGGAGGGAAAGGGTGAGGGTGGAAGTTGAGGGAGGTGTGAGTGAAAGGTGAGAAGAGATTTATATATATATATATAATCCTGATGACGTCAGCGGACGCGGACAGAGAAGAAGAAGAAGAAGAAGACGACGTTTCTTAATTTTTCATGAAAAACGTCACTTTTGACCGCTTGTATCTCCAGGACGGCTTGACCGATTTTATTTTTTCTTGGCTCAAATTACTCGTGGCGATGCCGCCTTTCAGGTTATATACGTGCAATTCAAAATTTTTATATTTTAGTAGTTCTACACCCCCAAAAGATGGACTTTGATGGTGCAGGATAAGGAGACTTGTAGTGTCTTTTAAGGTCTTTTAGGGTTTGAACATGGCCGGAGACACTACCGCGTCTCCTATAGTGAGAAGTGGCGTCTAAGAAACAAATTTGAATACATTTGTCTCAAGTATTATGGGGTTCGGAATCCATTGATAAAAATAGATTACAGCAAATGGATCGTGAATATCAGCAATTGTCGCGTTCCGGATTCGGTGATGGGGTTTCTCGGTTTGGGTGATAAGTTTGGCGTACCCATTTGTAGAAATAATAAAGATGATAGGAAAATCTCTGCATTAGAAAACATAAAGAATATTGAAGTTAATCATAGAAAGTTTCCCAGTGACAACCTGGATAATTTGAGATTTTCGATAGCGAGTTCGGTACATAAGTTTCTGAGTAAACAAAAACATGTAGGTTACATCGATAATTACATTTGTAATAGATACTCCGATTGCTCAAAATTTTTGAAATCTAACAAAAATATTTTTGCAACTAAAGCTGATAAAGGCCAGGTTACTGTGCTGATGGACC